AGTGATTTTTTTTTCACCAGCTCAGCTTAGACACAACATGAAGAACAAGAACAAAGTTTTGACCTACGCTCCAACTGGGAAATATCCTCTAGATCAAGTTAACACAGAATATCTTGTGATGTTGTGTGAAGTAAAACACTTGCAATTACAAGGAGGAAATGTAGATTCTAATGAACTGCACTTCTACTGATGTAGTAGACTCCCACCCCCCCAGCATATTCATATGCACACATTACATCCACAAGCCTTTAACACTGGAAAATAATTTCTACTGCTTCAGGTTTCCCATCAAGTCAGTTAGGTTTTTATTATGTGCAACACTGGGAAAAGCAATTGAGACATTAAATCCAATATACATTTAGCTGAGTTTGCAGTCTCCTCATGTCAGAAATGGTGCAGTGGGTCCGTCATGGCCTTCGACCATAACCTTTGCTGTAGATCATGTCAGGCTGTTGGAAAATCAGCTGCTGATTACTTCGCACCCGAAACTGACGTTTTCTGTGTTGCCATGGCATCAAGGCTGTCGCCCAGGATTTATCACACTTTAACATTGGCAGACTTTGCAGGATAACAGGCGTCAGAGCACATGTACACATTTACACTAAAAAGGGGATAAAAAAAGAGATGTATGCTAGAAAGTCCACAAAAAATATCCGTGTTTGTTCCAGGTGCCTGCACTGGACCTGGACGGCTCCATTTGGCCTCATAAAGCCGGGAGAGAGAAGACCTGTTTCACTGCTTTGTCAACACCATTTCGCATCATGCTGCAGCATTTCGTTGACCTCCTTGACATGGTAATGCTTACTTCTGGCAGCAGGAGGACGCCCTGCTCTCCCATGAGTAACCCGGGTTACATGCTGCCATTTGCTGTTGCGTCTACAGATCTTGTTAACTTCCTCACTCTGGGGCTGGTTTCCCTGATTCCGAGCCCAGAAATGGATATGAGAGGCATTTTCACATGATCTCCACCATAAGTTAGACCATCTGAAAACATATCCCCCTCTCATGACCTCACAGCCTGATTGGCATGCTGCATGCTGCATAAGGATTTTCTTGGCAAACGCTCCCCCAGGGAGAGCATAGATATCCTCTGCTAAAGTACGCTGCTGCAGCCCATGAGTGTGCCTCTGTAGCTGGGGGTTGTTGTGTGGTTAGCTGCCTCTATTAGGCAGAAATCCACCCACTGGTGTGCATATGTGGGTGTAGCCTGTCAGTCTGCTCTGCTCTCTAAGGGTGGAAACACCTGCACTGAGGTATTAAACGAAAGTTTGATTGACAAAAAGCAGGACTTTATGGTCGATGCATTGATACGTTGACTGCTTTCTTGTTTATTCCCGGGCCTCCTGTGTCGCATCACTTGTAGTGAAATCTGCAACCTGGATGATAATGATTTTCCAGGGGGGTGTGACATTTAAAGATCAAGTGTGTGATTGATGAAAGCATTAATTGATCATCTACCTATTTGTTCCTGTACCTGATAAGTGCAGACTGTTATGCAAATCCCCTATGGAACAGAACAGACATCTTTGAATGCAAATTAAGTAGACAGTAAAAGATGGGACTGTTTCCTGCTGGGCCCTTTTACGGCCAGCGAGACAGGAAAATAAGGGGTGGGGGGAAGGCGCTGTCCTTTTCGTCCTCACAGAACAAATCTTGAAAGGATTACCCTTGCAACAGTTCTCTTCACGTTCTGCTGAGTTTTCAGCTGCAAAAAGAGGCCTGGTCTCTGCAGAGTGAATCAATATCACGTCTTCAGGACCATTTGAGACTGGAAATAGCAGGTTCTCTTTGCCTCGATGCACAACCAGACCATTCAGCAAGGGGAAGAGGTATTTGGAACAGAAACGGGCACACACTGATTACACCTCAGCTGTTAAAGCCTTTTTTTTCTCCAATTCATTTGCACTCATATATATTAAAAAGAAAATTCAGCGCTTAGTTCAAATACAACCTAAACTGTCTTACATTTTGTCTTGTCACAGTAACAAACTACTCTTTACTTTGACCTGCTACATGCTTAAAATAAAGAAAACTAAACCATTAAACATGGACTACACTTTTGTTGGAGGATGGGAATAACATTGTCAACCAATCTTCAAACATTACATGGAGCACACTTCATCTCAACTGATGACTGAAGGAGCACAAACTACAATGAAATAAGCATCATAAACATAAACAAGCCAGTTAATGGTACAAATGTTTAGGGAAGGGTAACAGATTTTTATAGTACAGTAACTCAACAGCAGCAAGAGAAGGTCTTTAAAAAGGTGCAGTGTGTCTGGAAAACTTTAGATAAAGCAAAAGGTTCACGTCTTAGCATGATGCATGGATCAAAGCATATTCAGGTAATGAGAGGCCTGATCAAAGTCCAGATATAGTTCAACTGAAGGTAGGACTTGCGGACTGATGTTCATGGGTTCTACATCCAAATGGACTGAGCTCTTTCACAAGTGAAAGGGTAAATATTTCCCGCTGCGTAGGGCTGGTAGAGACATACCCCTTCACCTCCTACTCCAAAAAACTTGCAGCTAAAATTTAGGCAAAACACAAATGCATGCCACAGTTTTAAGATTTCTGTTCGCAAAATATTTTAAACCATTTCTCCCACTTTAGAGTCATGCAGTACTTTAAGTTGGTCTAAAACAAGCTTCAAAAATAGGTTTGGTTTCAGTGTGACACAGTAAGAAAATGTGCAGTTGGGTGGGAAATGAATGTTTTAGCAGCGCACTATATGCATTGCTCCAGGAGTGAGGACCCTTGCAGCAGCGGTGCAGCAACATCTCCACACTCCATTTCTCTCTAAACGTGGGGCCACGCACCACCACACAAAATCCACAAATCTTGTACGATTTGCTGAAGTTGTCCCACATAAAAATAGGTCAGGGGGAGACGTTTATTCCTCGCTACTTCATCAGCCGCGGCTCATAAAAATGTCAGCATGTTCCCCCCAATAATATTCCTCCCCTCGCTATTATGTGCCATTTAAAGGCGACCTCGTTCCTGCCTCCTTGTCAGGCTGCGCTACGTTTTACACAGCTGTCAGCGGCAAGCACTGGGCTTCCTTCTCTGCCATCCTCATGTGATGGGAGGGGGAAAAATATACAAAGTGTGCCCCCGCTTGGCGTTGTGTCACTCCTACCCTTGTGTGCTGTTTACTTTATGAGCTTTTCAGTATGCTCAGAGGGGCGAAGTTATTACAGTGTGAGCTCTGTGTCTCAACTTAGGTGCAGAAGATGCTTTTGTAGCATGACAGGTTGTTTTGCTGAAGCGAGACTTTTATTTGCTCTCTCTGAGAGCCAACATTGACATTTTAGTTATTTATGGCAATTTGAGAAAAGTTTTAAGGCTAAATCATCCATTTTTCTGTATTTAAAGATTGGCTTTTTTGCTTTCGATTAAACTACTGCACCTTTTATAAGCACTGTAAGAGGGTCCCCCAGAAGGCTTCAACCTGCATAATATAATCACTTGAACTGTCACTTATGCTCTGATACATTGTGGCTCACCTGCAAAGCTGTGATCTGATCTCCAAGGTCTTAGTTCTATGACATTCCACATCCCTGACAGCGTCTCAGGATTCATCAAATGGATCTCATCTTATCCTCTCGTCTTGTCTGTGTCATAAGTAAAAGAAGCAGCAGAGAGAGGAGAGAGAAAATCAATAGCGAGGCAAGGCACATCCTTGCTGTGGCTCTGGGCCCAATCATCCCTTCCTATTGGCGATACGATCCAGAGAGATATCAGTGTAATTCTTATGAGGCCCCTGAACTGCTAGTCTAGACTTTCATCCTTCTGTACACAAACATAAAAGCGTTGGCATTATCATATCAAAAAATAAGAAAGTATGATGAGGAGAGCGGGGGCTTAAAGGGAAAGCTACCACACAAAAAATAATCATACCAGCTTAGTGATGATGTTTCACTCACAAGTCTGTAGGTGACTAATTAGCTTCATGTGTTATTGTTTGTTGAGGCGCCGACTTGCTTCGCTTCTTGCCCACAGTTTGGATTCGCTAAGCTTGGAACTGGCAGCGTTTCTGTTACAAATGCAGTGGAAAAAAGCTTTGACTTTCCAGGGCAGATTTCCCTCATTTAAAAGCCTTATCTCACCCTGTGGGAGATCACACCATCAACAAACATTTCATTCAACGTTTAAAGGGGGATATCATTACATTTTCATGGCTTACATTCTCCTTTGCTTTTAGAAATACACGTATCTTACACATTTTGTCAAACAATTTTTCCAGATACAAATTTCCATTTGTGGGGTCCTTTATGTTAAAAAGGAATTATAAAATAGAAAACTACTAAAGCCAGGCTTTAAAAATGAAGAGAAAAAGAAACAGGAGGGAAAAACAGTTGTACTGAACAGAGGTAGGACACAAGAGAAGAAGAGGAGGAGGAAGGAATGAAGGAAGGAAGGAAACATGGAAGGAAACATCAAAGGAAGGAAGGAAGGAATGAAGGAAGGAAACATGGAAGGAAACATCAAAGGAAGGAAGGAAACATGGAAGGAAACATCGAAGGAAGGAAGGAAGGAAGGAAGGAAGGAAGAAAACATGGAAGGAAACATCAAAGGAAGGAAGGAAGGAAACATGGAAGGAAACATCAAAGGAAGGAAGGAAGGAAGGAAGGAAGGAAGGAAGGAAGGAAGGAAGGAAGGAAGGAAGGAAGGAAGGAAGGAAGGAAGGAAGGAAGGAAGGAAGGAAGGAAGGAAGGAAGGATAGAGGAACAAAGTGAGTTACGAAACCAGGCAATCAAGAAGAACAAAAAGAAAGAAGGAAACAAAGCCAGAAAACATAATGTGTGCGAGGGAGTCAGAATAAAAGGTAGGAGGGAAGGTAATAAGGTAGGAAGGAAAAAAATAGGAAGGAAGATAAAAAGGAATGAATAAATTACTCTTGTCTCAAGAAAACCTAAATCTAATTCTGTTCATATTCAGACTGTGTATGAATGCTAGAAATAACTCACCTTTCTATGTTTGTCCTTCTTCTTTAGGTCTGGTAACCTAAATTCAAGTCAAATGGAGTCATTCCTGGTGTTCCTGATAGTGCTTGGTGTGGCGGTGAAGGCGCACAAAGTTCAGATCTGCCCTAAGCGCTGCGTCTGCCAGATGCTGAATCCTAACCTGGCGACTTTGTGCGACAAGAAGGGGCTGCTGTTTGTGCCTCCTAACATCGACAGGCACACGGTGGAGATGCGGCTCGGCGATAACTTTGTAACCAACATAAAACGCAAAGACTTTGCCAACATGACCAAGCTGGTGGACCTGACCCTCTCTCGTAACACCATTGGGTCCATTGCACCGTATGCCTTCAGAGATCTGGAGAACCTCCGAGCCCTTCACTTGGACAGCAACCGGCTAACCCGCATCACCAATGACACCTTCAGCGGCATGTCTAAACTCCACCACCTCATTCTCAACAACAACCAGCTCACGCACATCCACATTGGGGCCTTCAATGACCTAACTGCCCTGGAAGAGCTGGACTTATCCTACAACAACTTGGAAAGTGCCCCCTGGATAGCCATTCAGAGAATGTCCAACCTCCATACGCTTAACTTAGACCACAACATGCTCAGCTTGATTCCAGAGGGCACCTTCTCTGGACTGCAGAAGCTTAAAAGGCTGGATGTAACCTCCAACAAGCTTCAGAAGCTCCCACCTGACCCCGTTTTCCAAAGAGCAGGTGTCTTGGCAACCTCCGGGATAATGGGCCCCTCTTCGTTCGCGCTGAGCTTCGGTGGCAACCCGCTGAGGTGTAACTGCGAGCTGCTTTGGCTTCGAAGGCTGCAGAGGGAGGATGATCTGGAGACCTGTGCTTCCCCACAGCACCTGGCTGGGCGGTATTTCTGGACTGTGTCAGAGGAAGAGTTCCTGTGTGAGCCGCCTCTTATCACCAGACACTCGCAGGTATAATCTCCAAATTGAATTGTTCACTGTTAAGACAAAACCCACTCTACTGTTACAGTCCCTCTGCCAAAAAGGGCTGCAGCTAATCTAAGGGGCCACATTAGGCTCTCCAGTAACTGCTACAGCAAGGATAAGCCTCTAAGCACCAGGATTCACAGACAAACTGCTGGGTTGACATTGTCAAATGTTTACCAAAGTGTTGGTCTGTTATAAGGTCATTAAAGAAGGTTCTTATCAGAGGACTGGATAATAGATTATTATGTATTACGGACATATTTATTGTTGATTAAAGCTCTTGGCTTCCGCTGTTGGGAAACTGAGCAAGAGTTCCAAAAACCCATATATGATAGTTTTCACTTTTTCTTATATGAAAAGGACAAATGTCAGTGTATATATTTAGATTTCATTCAACAGACCAAGTGAAAAGTTAGACTGAAGACATATTATAGTGCTTGTAAGATCTCAAGGTCTGTGCAAGAATTTCATTTGATGTCCTCCGATGATTTCCATCCAATCTGAGTGATGCTGATATGCTTAGCAGTATACTTTTACAAACGTAGTCTCTATAAGTGCAATGTTGTTAGAGCATCAAAATTTTACATCTATATATAAATATATATTAAATTCCACAGTGTTAAATATGTGGTGTCAAAGTACATTGACTCTTTTAGAGGTATTACAACAACTGGAGTGAGATATACACTATGCAGAGAGTTAATTTAACACTAATTCAGAGTGGGACCAAACGTTGCTTAATACTGGAAAATTTGGGCTCTAAAAAGTATCTACTTAGGGGTAATCATTACTCATGCAAACTACATTTTTTAGATTATTTACAAAGTTTTTACACCATGTAGTCCTTTATTTCTTTTTTTTAAGCTATGCACTATTTTTCTGTCTAATATTTATACATTGTTGCTTGTGAAAAAGGTTTAAATTAAAAATACACCTTTAGGCTGACTGAATTATCATGGTTATCAGTTTTGATCCTATAGGGATACATTCAGAACAGCAGAGCCATTGGTAACAGAAACATCAATGTTAAATCTTTCTTTATAAAAAGCATACTCACTTCGTCTACCTTTTAAACCCTCTTCTTTAGGAGCTGCGAGCTTTAGAAGGTCAGAGTGTGACTCTTCGCTGCAAAGCCCGGGGTGACCCCGACCCAATCATCCACTGGATCGCCCCCGACGGACGCCTGATGTCCAACTCCTCCAGAGCCACGGTCCACACAGACGGGACGTTGGAGATCCTCATCAGTACCGTCAAAGACTCAGGTCTGTTTGCCAAACTCTTGTGGCTGTGCCTGTGATGTTGACAGAACGAAATGACATGTTTGCTTGTGCCACACCAAAGCCTAAAGATGAAGTATGTTTGTGCACTGCTGAGATGGTGGAGACGGATAAAAGAAAAGGAAGCGTGACTTACTTTCTGCTAAGAACAGTAGAACATCATAACCTAGTTTAAAGAACCCATCTCCTCTTTATGGAGTTTTTTTTTTCCCTGTCTTTTAGTCCTACATGGTTGTATATAGCTTATGTAATTAAAAAATCCCAAATTAGACACAAAGGGAGTAGTTGCTAGACCCAACAAGAGACACAGTGGTGCTGAGCTGCCAGAAAGCTTTGTCACATCACCCTGACACACAGAGATGCCAGGTTTGGTAGTAAGTAAATAATGTAGAGGCTGTCTTTAAAGGTTTAGCTAATTATCTTAACAAACAGAGGAGATCTGATTTGTTCTGTGACTCTATGGAGAAAGTATTTCAGTATTTCTTTTGATATAAAATGATGTAGGCAGATCTTTCTATACCTTTATATGAATTTGCAGCGTAAGTGGGCATTTTCTTATCTCAGAAATAAAAAAACAAACAAATCCATTTGAACAAATCTGCTATATACTTTCTGAAGTCACAATTTAATGTTTTGCTCTGTCTTCAAACTGATTGGACAGTAAGAATTAGAGCTGGCCATTCAGAGAGATTGTTAAGTTGCATTTTTAGTTGCTGTGTTTCGCATTGCTGTTTTGATATAGTTCTAAACTTTTACAGTGGACACATAAAGTAAAATAAAGCCGGATCAAGTTACAGACAGCCCCTCATAATGAGACCATATTTCTATATTTTCTATATAAATTTTTCTCTTCATCTAATAATAACAAGGCTGCAAGGGTGACATAGTAAACATACTGTAGCGTAGCCTTGGTAAAATATATTTGATTGGTTTAAGCAAGAAAATGAGATTAGTTCTATATTATATCAAATTACCGTATTTTCACGACTATAAGGCGCACTTAAACGTCTTTTTTTCCCCTCAAAATGTGCGGTGCGCCCTTTGGTGCGGTGCGCCCTATGTGTGTTGTAACTGCGACTTTTGAGACCACCTCATTGAGGAGATGATGAACGAGTGGCTGAATGTAAGGAGACCAGGTGTTTTTTTTTTCCACTCATCACCATTGCTGTTAATATGTAACTCCATGCGTGCCCATCTCACAGCTGATGTGAAAAACATGGGGAAACAAATTAACGCTGTGCTCGCTGTTCAACCGCTCGACATCGGTGTGAACCGGACCCAGCAGGTGCAGCAGAAGCAGCGAGTTTACATGCAAAGTCAATGGTTGACGCGCGTATAGGTGCAGCAAAAGGTCCCGCAGCCTTTAAGCATCTGACGCACCGCCAACGCGCTGCTGCTGCTCGAGATGGAAAAATTTAAGTTTTGCTGCTGGACGCGCCGCATCAACCAATCAGAGAAGCTGATCTGGGAGCTGACAGCGAGACAGACACATCGCTCTGATAACATATGATATTAAGGCAAATGAAAAAGGCTGGATGGATGAGGAGATGATGAAAGAGTGGCTGAGGGAGGTGTATGTGACAAGAACAGGTGTTTTTTTCAACGCATCACCATCGCAGTTAATCTGTGACTCCATGCGTGCCCATCTCACAGCTGATGAGAAAAACATGGTGAATCAAATGAACGCTGTGCTCGCCGTTATCCCGGGAGGTCTGACAAAGGAACTTCAACCGCTCGACATCGGTGTGAAGCGGCCGTTCAAAGTAAGGCTGCGAGCGGCGTGGGAGTGATGGATGACAGACGGAGACCACAGTTTCAGGATAAGTGGAAGGCAGCGCCGGGCAAGTTACGCCACCGTTTGCGGATGGATTGTAGATGGACTAATGTGTCTGCTGGCTCTGTTGTTCAAGCTTTCGCAAAAGCCGGCATTATTTCTGAGGAGCTGCGCTGCACGGAAAGTGACTCTGACAGCGAAGAAGGGGAAATTGGCATGTCTGATTTAGCGCAGCTGTTTAATTCAGAAACAGAGGATGATGACTTTGATGGGTTTGATTAATACTTTGTAATAAATACATTAATAAAGCACAATCATACTCAGTTTTGCTCCCGCTCTATTTTTCTACCTGAAAACTTAATTCAACAGCAGCCTCTGGGCGGGTCTCCTCCTCTTCATCGCGGCGGCTGGCAGGTGTTTTTTCATCTAAATAATCTAAATCTTGCAGCTATATTTGCTGTGATCAGTGGGAATAAAGTAGTTTTATTATGTTTTTAAGTGAGAAATTCCACCTGAAAACTTAATAATTGCAGTCGGTTCATCCAGATTATCTATTTCTGTCGGAGGCGCTCAGACCCCCACATACCAGCGGTGCACCGACAGGAGAAATCCTTTCAACATCAGCCTCTAGGCTGGGCAGCCTCCAGGTTCACCGCGGCTGCTGGCAGGTGTTTTTCATCTAAATAATTTAAACTGCAGGCACCAGGATACCGGTAATAAAAGCGAACAAATTCCGTCGGCAGGTTTCAGGATTTTAAGTTAATTTAGGAGTGATCACAGCGCTGTCATCTGCGATGTGACTGTCTCACGGCCAGCACCCAGGTTTGATTAATACTTTGTAATAAATACATGAATAAAGCACAGTCATACTCAGTTTTGCCCCCGCTGTATTTTTAAATACGCAGTAGAGGTATTTAAAGGTAGTAGAGGACATGTACCGGTATATAAAAAACGCGCCCTATATTCCGGTGCGCCTTATGTGTGTGTTAAATACAGAAATGGGACACATAACTGAGAGTGCGCCTTTTAGTACGGTGCGCATTATGGTCGTGAAAATACGGGTATTCTTGTAATTACCTTAACATGAAGGATTAATTAATTACCTCCTTATTCAGCTTTCATTTAGACATTAAAATGGAGAGAGAAGAAAATAAGATATCTATCTTCTCCCAGGATTTACAGTAATCCATTGGGAAAAGAGAATAGAAGGTACCATCCTTCAACTCCTAGATGCTGATCCAATCAACACCCCTGCATTAATGGACTCCTTACCAGAGCTGAATGGCAGGCCTGTTGGAGCAGAGATTGCATGAAATGGCTGCTGGACGGGATCCCTGACTGGATTTATAGGGAAGTGGTTAGGGCATTGCACTTGGAATCCTGAGGTTCTGAGTTTAAGCCCCACTCCCAGAGACTGCCACTGTGGGTCCCTGAGCAAGACCCTTAACCCCACACTGCTCCCCGGGCGCTGCACAATGGCAGCCCACTGCTCCCCAAGGGGATGGGTTAAATGCAGAGAGTTAATTTCATTGCTCTGTACTTGTGATAATGTAATGACAATAAAAAGCGCTGGAAAAAATGTGTGCTTTCTCATTTTATAGAGAAAAATTCTGTCTAACATCAAACCGCAAGCCAAAAATAAAACCCACAATAGATCAACCAGAGTATGTTTTCTGAAAACCACAACAAAAATTTATTAAGGGATGAGAAAACTTAAAGCTCGTCATGCCAACTGTTAAATACGGTGGAGCATTGGTATCAGTCCACCAGTTGCAAGGTATTAAAAGATGCCTTAGTTTGGTATGATGTGTGGCTGTTTATTTTGTTTAAGAAGTGGACGGGTTTCTCCTCATGTACAGGGTTTCTTGCAGCAAAATCTTGAATTCTCAAAGAGAAACCTGGTGTATCCTGGATTATTTAGGTTAATCCTGCAATGTTTACTGTTCATTTGTTTATTCTTGGATACAAATACTAAAGGTTTAAACTATGATGGCTGAGATGCACATGCTGCACACACAAAAATGAGCGCTAGAATTATATCCCTTATATCCCATATCCTAGACCTTGGCCATATAGGAAAAAACTAACCAACCGTCCAGAAGTTGATTTTGGTATAATGACATTATAGTGGTGTTTATTGTAGGAAAACTGTACAACAGTCTATGTTTTGTTTTCTGTGTTTTATAAAACAACTTATTATCTTTGAGAAAACCTCTTCAATGAGTAAATTGGCATTTCATATGTGCTAAATCTTTCAATTTGCTAAGTTGGCAGGGAAACAAGGAGACTGTAAAGATAACAGGAAATTCAGACGTATGTTGCTGCAGCACTTATCATTAATAGAACCTGTATTTCTCACACGAGTTAAATTCAACGATGCTACTTTTGTATGTCTCAACCAATTGGATTTGTCTTTGTCCACCTAGTTTTAATGTCTATGTCAAATTTTGCTTTTCTTATTACATGGCCAAATATTGAGAACAGATGATTTCATAAGGTGTTTTTAATATCTCTTATCAGCTATTCACAAACTGCTCAAAACAGAATTTAAAAAACATTTTTATTTCTTCTGTTCCACAAACTCTTATTTTAACAGGCCTATAATTTCACAAGGTTGAGTTACTGGTGTAAACTATTTTACTGCCTAGAGGTTTCAACTTGAGAAATAGCTTAGAATTGAAAAATAAATTTAAAAAGCTTGTTTGCTTAAAAAGAAGTCTAGCAATTTGCAAAGGCATATTTTGACTTGTAAACAAGAAACATGAGTCAGATGATGGCAGTGAAACACTCTTAGTGGAATATTTGTTGAAATGGAACCTAATTAAAACCCCAAATTACCCTTTCCCTGTCATTTTAAAGAAAAAGTAAACAGTCAGTACAAAGAGCACACAAACGCTTTCCAACTGCATACCTTCCGCAGTAAGACTGAGAGGGGATGCTTAATGTTGCATTTGGGTTGGAATTCTCTTATTATTTTATTCTATTCTATTCTATTTCTATTTGTATCTTGAGATTAGATAAGCAAGGCTTCTAGTTGTAGTTGCACATAGTTTTTTAGCTCCTGGTTGAATCTTCACTGTGCTCTTAGAGCTATTTTGGTTGACCTGCCTCATCTTGATGTTAATTATGAATCCTCTTTTGTTTCACTGTTGTGCTACAGTTGTAAAAACGGCTTTATAAAGGTTGCAGAGGATGGATGTTAATGGATTATTATTTCTACAGTTCTAACATATTCCTTTTGAAGATATTTTTCCATTTGAGATCCTTAAAGATGTTATATTTAAATTATTTATGGGTAGGGGTAATAACCAGGCCTGTATTTTGCTATTAAAATTAAGCTCAGCTTTGGAAACAATGTAATTTAATCCCACTTAATTCATGATTTAACTAGGGGGCACATTGTTTCTTAATTACTTAATTAGGACCAGGTCAGTCCGGATGGTTCTTTTCCCTTGATGAACAAAGTCATAATTAGAAAATTGCCTTTTGTATTATTTTCTCAAAGCTCATCATGAAACTTTTAGACTGAGGTAAAAACAAAACATTAAGACACAGGATTCAATTGAAGACATAAATATAAGCATGATGTATGTCAGCTCTTAATATATTCCATTTTACTCATTTTGGAGAACTGCCTGAATTTATAAATTGGGCACACAACAGTCTTTTTTTTCTGAATGCGGAGCATGGGCATGACATTTAAAAAGGTCCGATTTGTAGAAAAAAAAAAAAGGTGCAGTGTTCCCTAGTTTCGTAGAAAAGCTGAATTTTGTCAAAAAAAAACAAAGCGTAACCTCAAAGTTATGCTTTGTTTTGAATGCTTCTTGAAATGTTCTGGTTCATGCTGAGACGATTGTGGCTCAATGGGAAGACGGATCGTGTGTGTAAACATTTTTAACACCGATCTGTGTATCGGTGGATGAATGTGTGCATGTTAGAGTGCTTTGAATGGCTGGCGTGATAAGAACTGTATGAATGTGGTTCATTTGCTACACTTACAAACTAAAGGTTCCCTCTCTTGTTATTTTGTGAGACTCCCTGGTATTCCACTCGATTCCGCCCTTGAAGGTTTCCTATATCAGCCCTAATGAGTTTTCCCCAACAATATTCAAGTCTAATCTTTTTTATTAATTTAGTCGTCCCCCCAAAGAAGACTTAGACTTGGGATTATTCCTTTAGGGAAATTCTGGTTCGGGTAGCTTATATAGAGTACAAAGGGTTAAAGCAAGATGCTATTAACGATAAAAATACAACAGTCTATATAAAAAGAGTGTATATAGTACAAAAAAGCATAAAAAGTTGTAATTTCCTGGAATATGTTTCCCTTAGATATAAAAATATCTGCACAGTAGAGAGCCAAGTGAAGACTACACAGTAGTTTACTTGGGTAAGTGCAGTTGCACTGCAGAAATGTACTGACCATTTAAATAAGTGGAAATTATACAGACTACATAGTAGTTGAATTACTGCACTTGTACTGAAGAGATGTACAGACCTTATAACTAACTAAAAAACTACACAGGCTACACAATAGTTGGCATGGGTTATTGCACCGTGAGAGCGTAGAATGTTGCACATGATTGACAATAGGTAATGTTTTGCATAAGATGTCCAAGGAGGGGGGTGCTTCCTAACACCTCCTCTTTCCCCCAAGTGATGAGTTGTACAGCTTGATGGCTTAGGGAACAAAGGAGTTCAGCAGTCTGTTGGTCCTTTATAAAGTTTGCAGAGAGATGGATTAGTCTAGCATCCTCCAAATGTAAGAGCGACACAGATATCTATTTCCTCTTTGCATAAAGATCTTTATTTACTTTTTTCTAGATATAATAGTATGAATTGGGGAACATGTTTTTCTGGCATTATGATACTTATCTTGACATGTGCTGAAGGCCAACCCACCTATGAGGTTACAGTCATTTGCTATTATGTCTTTTTTCCTTCTTGCTTTGATTCTGTTTTATTTTCCTATATTTTAATCATGTAAAGCACTTTGCACTGAATTGTGCTATACAAATAAATTTGCCTTGCCTTGCCTTGCCTTGGTGTGTAGATGTTTTCAGAAAAATTTAGATACAGTACTTCATCTGTGTTAATCCTTAGTAATGTATTTTCATATACCCCAGATAAGATTTGAATGCAAAACAAAAAAAGTTAATAAAAGAGATGTACCTCAGCCTAATTATTAAGATTTTTAGGGTTTCAGCCTGATCAGCTGCCTCGATTCCTGTATGTGGAAGGCTCCATAACTCAGGTTTATCAGGCTTAGATGTTGAAAGAGTAAAGCAGAACCCGGGAAGTTTTATTTATATTATTCACCACATGACCAGTGATGATTAAAAAATCTTTAGTATGTGTGGAGAAACAGCTTTAACTTACTATGCAGGTGGTTTTAGATAAAAGAGACTGGAGAAAAGCTGCTGGTTATCAAATCCCCATCAGCTGTGAGTTTATGTTGCCACAGTGAGGTTAAACGCAGCGCTGCTTCTGACTCAGATTTTTTTTTTTTAAATCACCAAAGGTCTGTCCTGCTCTGCAGCTGCTAACTGAGAAACTCTGCTAATGATTCACATTTGTGCTAAAAAGGAGGCATCCACTAGTACATTTCGGTGGCATTAAAACGGCAAAGTAGGGTTTTAAAAAGCAGCCTCTGCTCCTTATTTTTAATGGATTCTGTGAGATTTTCTGTCACATGGAGGCTTCTGGTGCAAAAGGTGTTAGTCTGTTGGCTGGTGTGAAAGACCTTTTTGTGACATGTCTCACATAGAATGCATGTGAAGGTAAATCTGTTCAGCCTTTATTACTCCAGCTTTAGATGAAGGTTTTGCTTTTTAGAAATTTTAGTCACATTTAAAGTTAGGAGTTCATTTAAGCATGCATTTTTGTTTCCTCCTTTTTCATCTGTATTTAAAGGATCAGTATCCGCCAGACTGTAGGAGAGTTACAGACTCCTCTATAACACTGAAATTTCATCACCTAGAAAGTCATTTAAAGTCATATAAAGATGCTCATCTTTCCTACATTACAGAATAATCAAAAGGTGCTTCAATTAACTTTCAAATTAAACAAAAACCTTTATTACAAAGTATATCAGTCTACATTCACTAATTGGGTTTTAATCATAGTCTGTTATGTCTAAATCCCCCTTGGCTTCTGTTTCAGGTTCCTTCACCTGTGTTGCGTCCAACCCGGCCGGGGAGGCCCAGCAGACGGTGGATCTGCTCATGACTAAACTCCCCCACATTACCAACGACACCATCGCCGAGCAGGAGCCGGACCCCGGATCTTCAGATATCGCCACTGTGACCAAGACGGGGGCCGAGGCGGGAGGGGTGCCGATGGGGAATGCAAAGACAAGTCAGGAGAAGAAGGTTGTAATCGCAGAGGCCACCTCTACCTCGGCCCTGGTCAAGTTCAACTTTCACAGGAGCATTCCTGGAATCCGCATGTTTCAGATCCAGTATAATGGCACCTATGATGACTCGCTGGTATACAGGTAAGCAGACAGATTAATCCGGATGCATGGTAACTGATAATGCAGTAGAACCGGCTGATTTCTCTGTATTGAGGAAATCTTGAGCTCTTCCTAACCCGCTGACTCTTACCTATCCTCTGTGTAAATGCATAATTCTCTTTGGATGTTAGGTCATTAAGAGCTGGACCTGAATGTTTGCATAGTATCACTTAATCCCATCAGGAAGGCTAATGCACAGCACATGAATTCATCTCCTTCGACTCCTAATCCCCCTTGTGTATTATTTACTACATGCAAGGCCTTGATAATGCCTAATCAACAAAATCAAAACAGAATGTCAGCACTAAGCTGCAGACCCAGGGGAAGATGAAAGAGCCGTCTTCCACTGTTTTACAAAGAGCGTCAGATGCTTCACACAAGCCTGTCTGAAGAAGCACAGCACAGAGTTTACTTTCATCCCTGCCTGCTCACTGTTAATCACTGAGATATGTTAGGATCATTGCACCTACTCTTTTTCCCAGATGAACTTCAGGTCAGCAGCACATATGGTCCTTCAGCGGTAGCTGCTACATAGAAGTGTTCTGTGCTCCCTAGCAGCTTTTTACCTGTGATATTGTTGAAACAATAAATGAAATGTCAACAACAGCTTGTGTTTAGAAAGATCTAAAGTAGCCCCCTGAGAAATGAGTGATTTTATCTAAACAACATTAAGCTGAATAATCGGTTTTCCTCTTCAGAATGATCCCCCCAACCACTAAGAACATCCTGGTGAACAACCTGGCGGCAGGCACGCAGTACGATCTGTGCGTTTTGGCCATCTACGACGACCAGGTCACCTCGCTGACCGCCACCAGGGTGATAGGCTGTGTCCACTTCACCACCGAGCAGCAGTACCTCAGGTGCCACTTCATGCAGTCCCAGTTCCTTGGCGGGACCATCGTGGTCATCATTGGAGGGATTATCGTGGCGTCTGTGCTCGCTTTCATCATCTTCCTCATTGTGCGTTACCGAGTGTGTAACCAAGGTGAAGCAGACAAGGTTAGTATTGCAGCTTTTGAGTTTTCATTGCTTTCATATTTCCTTACCTTCATAAACCACTTCACATCTTCCCCGTTTTTTCATATGAAAGCCAAGACCTTCAATTAAATTTATGTAATAGACCAGTAAAAAAAAAAAAAGTCATCATTGTGAAGCAGAAGGAAATGATTCACGGTTTATTTTTTGCCTTTAAGAATAAAATGTGACGAGTGTATTTGTATATAAGGTGACGTGGCTGATATAATAAATAAATAACAAATTAATTATTTCAATGTGTCATTAACTTATTGAAACTGGTAATAAATACATTATTTATTAGATATATAATTAATTATATGGCCCTCAGTTTAAATATATACATTGCATTTTAAGATGTGAATACATAATAATTTTTTCCTGATTCAATAAATGATTTCATCTACCTGGGATGAAGAATTATGAGGCGGGTCTGAATCCTACTCCATAGAAACTTTGACATCCGATTGGCTGTTTGTTGCTGAGCAAGATAAAACTTTGTTCTGCTTTTTTTTTCATTCTAATGTTAACATTTTGGCCAGTAAGTATGTTACTAAAAAGTGTTGCCATTTATTTACAGCACATTGGCTGAGTAATTACAGCCTCTTTACCCATAGTCTGGTCTCTGAAAAGTGTGAGCTGACATGAGCTGGCAAATTAGCTTCAAATAAAATGCAATGCATTTCTGAAGTTATTTCAACCCTTTCCAGTGATAATATTGACTTACTAGTAAAAAAAAAGAAAGGATAAAAAACCCCCAGAAAGAATTTCAGTTCTTTTGCTCAGTTAGAGGCAGCCAATCAGATGTCAGGGTTACTGCGAATGTGGCCCTAGTCCCGCCTCTTTGACTTTGATGGATGTGTGACTATTTACATTAACTTATAGAGTATTCCAGCACAGGAGCATGAAATAATTTATCAAATAATAATATAATTATACTTACTTCCTAAAATCACTATATTTAATTGAGGTCCTTATATTTAATTATGCATTGGTGACATACATTTTGCATTTATTTCCAGTTTTCATAAATGAATGGTGCATCAAAAAATATTTTATATGGCATTTATTTATTGAATTATGGCACTCATCACCCTCCATATATTTGTGTTTATTCCTCTTGAGTCAATACTTTGGGTTCAGTTACAACCTTTTCTTTCAATACCTACTTTGCATATCTAAAGCCCATTCTTTTTCTAAATTCAAGCTTAGTGGGATTGGATGAAGAGCATTAGTCAACATTAGTTTTAAAACATCCCTAGAGGTTAATCTGGATTTAAACAAATATATCAGAAAGTTCAGAATTTTTCATATTTCACCTCTTTACATATTGTATAAAATAAAAAGGTTTTAATCTTAATTTATCTCTCTATCACTGCTATAAGGTGGGTTTAATAGAAAAAACGCGAATGAGATGCATTTTACGTATCATTGACCTGTTTGTCATTTGGCATTTCGCCCGCTATCTCGCAAACAGTTCACAGTGACGAAATTTCACCCAGCTCTCATTAGCACATCATTAAATAGGAGATACATCTATCTATATCCTCTTGTCTGTTCAACCTAATGGCGGACGTTGATTTTACTGAGCGAGTCACAGTACTCTATATAATATGGAAAACCAAATTGGCATCCTTAGTTCGTCCAGATCTACTTCCAGTTCATCCAGTTTGCCTGCTCCAGGTGCTGCAGCTGGATTCAGGACGCAGTCTCAGCACCTTCTCACTTGCTTTGAGGATGGATCCCTCTCTGAAGTTTTTGAAAGAAAGCATCTTTTACCACACATCACAACCACATCCAGACACTGACTCAATCGACAGAAAATTTCGGATTATTGAATTCCAGCTAAATTTTTCTTACATTTTTTTCCTGCATCTACCATTCCTATTCACAGTGTCAATCTGTTTTATAGCCATTGCTCAAAACTCGTCATTCATATCACAGACTGTTGATTCTCAGTGCCTTCGCTTTTGGGATGAGACACTTTTAAAGGAGTATTTCCACAGGATGATGCTGCCAACACCATGGTTTTTATAGTAGGGATGTCATGTAGGTTATGAATCAAATTAGAAGTAATATTTCTGTTTCGAGTGGTGCTGTAACTCCTGGATGACATGTGGAAAACTGAAAACATGACCGAAGTGTCTTCCAGCTGAGCTGTAAATCTTAGCAGTTGTAAAATTGTCTTTCAATGGATTACAAATATCTCTATGAGATGTTCAATACTTATGTTATGATAAAGTGAAACCACAATGCTCTCTGAGCTTGTTAGAACAGAAACCACAGATTAATGGTCACTACCTAGCTTGTTTATACTGGAGGAGGCTCTGGAACAACCTCTCACATGAATGCAGACGCATAGTGGGAGCCTCTACACAGCAAGTGTTACCAAAAAAAATGGCATCTGACTTTTTAGAGTTAGAGACATGCAGTGTGTTCCAGCATAAAATAGCAAATCAGTGAGGACTTCAAAGACCAGTTACATTTATACTAAAATAAAATCATGTGGTCAATTGGCTGCACTTGATTTTAATTAGGGTTGATAGAGGAAACATGGCTAAAATGCAATGTATTCTTTTATAGATTTTCATTGTTACACACTACTTTGTGTTGCTCCATCATATGAAATCCTTATATATTTCATATAATATTTAGCATGGTAGCAGCAAAACAAAATCTGAAGGAAGCACGAAAAATAATACTTTCGTTAAGCAATGTGCTGTTGTGTTAACTTGTCAACATGTCAACATGTCTCCCTTCTCTCTTGTATTTATCTCATGTCCAATCAGGCACTGGAGATGGGGGATATCCGTTCGCTGAGCAGCGATGGACAGCTACAGGGCTGTGGGATCCCTAAGTCCCTCTCCAAACAGGTTCTGCGTCCAGAGAAGAATGACAAGGAATGCCTCAGAGTTGCCCTCCCACCTCCAGAGCCAACCAAGCAAAGACCTCCTGTTTCTCTACCAACCACCAAACCTTCGGTTCCCGACTGCACGGTGTCGTCGTCTGCAGGCAGCCATAGCTGGCACCCGGCCTCCCCAGGAGCGCCGAGGCCAAAGCGCTCTGGAGCTCCACAGAAACCCCCAGAGGCCCGGCGAGCTGAAGCCCAGACAGAGGTCGAGCTCAACAACATGAACCGCAATAACTCCTCAGAGGTCAAAATGGCCAATACCATCGCTCTCCCAGGGCCTGGCCAACCCCAGAAATGGACTGCTGCTCCAAGAGGCCCCCGACCCCACCACGCTTCCCGGCATTACATGACTGTGCCTGCAGGAGGTGTGAGAGTGAACCGCAGGCACTCCCTTAATGCAGACTCGTACAGAGAGCGCTGCTACGTGGCCTATCCCAAAGTTGGGGCCAGCCTGCGCTCCAAGCGCAGCCTGTCGATGAGCGGAGAGCTTCCGCAGCTCGAGAGCACAACAAACATCCATCGAGCCAGGGACAAACTATCCAGGTCTGAGTGGCTGCTGGAGAGCACTTTATGATTTCAACTTTACAACCTGAGTGTTCTGTTTTTCCCAGACTAGATTGGATGTCCGCCGTGGAAGAGAGTGCAAACTTTCTGCCTTGTTTGAGCTCCTCACCGAGGGACCTGTGGAAAGCAGGCACACAGGATCAGGGGTCAATGGTTCATTTGTTTTCTACCTTATAACCTATCAGAGTCTTCTTTATATCAACTTCAATGAAAGGCACAACAATGTATAAACGACGTCATGTACAAAAATGTTTAGTTGTGTGAGATACCATATATCTCAGTGCAACCATAAGTGTTCATGTGGTTTTGAATGCGGTAATCTGAACATACTGTATAATAAGAGCATCATACAGGGGATCGGGTCATTATACTGCCTGAGCTGACAGAATATCTGAAGACTTTGAACATTCAGGCGTCTTGTCTTTAACTCCACCTACAGATGGAGATACAGGTGCTGGTCATAAAATTAGAATATCATGAAAAAGTAGATTGATTTCAGTAATTCCATTTAAAAAGTGAAACTTGTATATTATATTCATACATTACATACAAACTCATATATTTCAGATGTTTATTTTGTTTAATTTTGATGATTACAAATGACAACAAATGAAAATCTCAAATTCATCATATCAGAAAATTAGAATATTACTGAAGACCAATAAAAACAAAGGATTTATAGAAATGTTGGCCAACTGAAAAGTATGAACATGAAAAGTATGAGCATGTACAGCACTCAGTATTTAGTTGGGCCTCCTTTGGCCTGTATTACTGCAGCAATGCGGCGTGGCATGGAGTCGATCAGTCTGTGGCACTGCCCAGGTGTTATGATAGCCCAGGTTGCTCTAATAGTGGCTTTTAGCTCTTCTGAATTGTTGGGTCTGGTGTATTGCATCTTCTTCTTCACAATACCCCATAGATTTTCTATGGGGTTAAGGTCAGGAGAGTTTGCTGGCCAATTAAGAACAGGGATACCATGGTCCTTCAACCAGGTACTGGTAGCTTTGGCACTGTGTGCAGGTGCCAAGTCCTGTTGGAAAATGAAATCTGCATCTCCAAAAAGTTGGTCAGCTGCAGGAAGCATGAAGTGCTCTAAAACTTCCTGGTATGTGGCTGCGTTGACCCTGGACCTCAGAAAACACAATGGACCAACACCAGCAGATGACATGGCACCCCAAACCATCACTGACTGTGGAAACTTTACACTGGACTTCAAGCAACGTGGATGAAGTGCCTCTCTTCTTTTCCTCCAGACTCTGGGACCTTGATTTACAAAGGAAATGCAAAATTTACTTTCATCAGAGAACATGACTTTGGACCACTCACCAGCAGTCCAGTCCTGTTTCTCTTTAGCCCAGGCAAGACGCTTCTGACGCTGTCTGTGGTTCAAGAGTGGCTTGACACAAGGAATGCGACAGCAGAAACCCATGTCTTTCATACGTCTGTGTGTGGTGGTTCTTGAAGCACTCACTCCAGCTGCAGTCCACTCTTTGTGAATCTCCCCCACATTTTTGAATGGGTTTTGTTTCACAATCCTCTCCAGGGTGCGGTTATCTCTCTTGCTTGTACACTTTTTTCGACCACATCTTTTCCTTCCCTTCGCCTCTCTATTATTGTGCTTGGACACTGAGCTCTGTGAACAGCCAGCCTCTTTAGCGATGACCTTTTGTGTCTTGCCCTCCTTGTGCAAGGTGTCGATGGTCGTCTTTTGGACAACTGTCAAGTCAGCAGTCTTCCCCATGATTGTGTAGCCTATAGAACTAGACTGAAAGACCATTTAAAGGCTTTTGCAGGTGGTTTGAGTTAATTAGCTGATTAGAGTGTGGCACCAGGGGCCATCAATTTTGAACCTTTTCACAATATTCTAATTTTCTGATATGATGAATTTGAGATTTTCATTTGTTGTCATTTGTAATCATCAAAATTAAACAAAATAAACATCTGAAATATATGAGTTTGTATGTAATGTATGAATATAATATACAAGTTTCACTTTTTAAATGGAATTACTGAAATCAATCTACTTTTTCATGATATTCTAATTTTATGACCAGCACCTGTATGTCTTAATTACTTTTTTGGGAGGCGGGGTTCCAGAAGTTAGGAATGTACTTTACGACCCGGAAGTGCGGGAACAGAATGTAGTAGACAAGAGAACGCTCCAGCTCCTCATCCCTCCCAGATCCAGCACAATGCAGCATTTCTTTTTTCCCCATTTCTCGTGGCACAAGTCGACTCGAGCTAATACTGCCCTCCGGTTTGAATCGATACATTTTTATCACATAATTACATAAAGACTCCGCTCGGATAGGATTCCTGTCATGACTGATTCGAGCGGCAATTTGAACCAGCACTGGTGGCATGACAGGTGCTGCAACTAATCTGATATTACGTGTGGGTGAGATCCAGAGGAATGGTTCATTTCCATATTTTATACTCGCAGACGTTTATCTTGTCACGCCGATAAACCGTTGTAAATTAACTTGTCAATGTAAGAGAAGGGATTATAATCACGAGAACGGGAGGCCGACTGCTCTTGATTTTGCTGTTGTTTCTGTTTGATGTTTACCAATATAAATAAACCAGTGATAAAAGAAAGATTGATCTTTTCTTTTTCAGCTTTTCCTCTGAGCTTCACCACATATGAAATCTGTGAGGATCATTTAGAAAAGAACAACAACAAAAACTCCCTTTGTTGCTGCTTGCAGAAGTGCTTACAATTTGGGACTTTCTGTCATCTTTCAGCAGCTTAATTCCCGCCTCTCTGCAAGTGGTGGACCTCTGACAGATCCCAGAAGTCTCGTGTTTGTTCAGAGAGAGCAGGGAGGCTGATGATGAAAAGAGGCTTCGCCAGTCATCGGGGACGCCTCTCGCTTGCAGATCTTCTAGCTCATCTAACAGCCCTGTGTCTGCTCTCGCTGAAGCCAGCTTCTGCAGAAACCTGCAGCAGAAGAGGTTAAACACAGCTTCCCGCAGTGGGAACCTATTCAGGGCTCATTGTACAGCGACAGTGGAAGGACTGAAGGTGTGCTATGCTTTATCCTTTGGAACAGAATATCTGTGTTTTGGTGGCTGGGTGCTTCAGGGTTAATTTTATATATGCTGGGATACCACAAACATCAGCTTTTTTTAGAGGTGAAACCTTCAAGGATCAGCTGCTTAGTCTCTAAGTGTAAGATGTGAATTAATTCCTGTCATCTAAACTGGATGCATTCATCATTTCTTGCTCATTACAGGCGATTAAAATGCTGAGAAGCTTAGGCTAAGGCCTTGGTTCAGTTTGCTGGCAGGAGCCAAAGTTGTTTGTTAATAATAGATGCTATTCTGGAGTGAAACAGAGTGGCAGAGGTGTGTGTTTTGGTGTGGGGGGGGAGGAGAAAGGCATAAATGGAAGGTTTTGTGAAACAAATACATTGAGGAGGGTGGGAGGCTGAGACACAGGGGTTGAGGATGAAGATGCAGGAGTGTGCAGCAGATAACTCAGAGATTTAGAGAGAGACAAGAGAAAATGCAGAGCTGGGGTGCAGAGGATCAGAAAATAGCTACTTTTGTATAGCAGTCCTACAGCCTCTTTTTCTTAGGTATTCAATGCACCTTCTCTGAGATGGTGAGCATGTGGAGGAGGCTTCAGCGAGGTGAGAGCCCTCAACTGGAGGTCAGCCGGCAGGCATAGCAGTGTGTAACCCTGCAGCAACATCAAAACCACATGGTTTCCTTCATCAGAGTGCAAGAGCTTGACCCACTTTCTAACCCCATTGTAATGTGTCACCAGGCCCCTGAGCGGCCTCTCCCCTCCTGGTACATCCTCATGACCCCACGCTGTAGTCAGTCTACTTTCCTGCACCATGCTGACAGCTGAAAGCTACTGTCATGTCTTTTTTGTGGAACTACAAACACAATTTAAAATCCCTGGCAAAATACAGTCTTGGCTCGTCCCCTGTTTAAACGTTGAACTAGGTCCACTGCTTTATTGACTTTGAGTTTGTCAGCTTCTGTCACTTTAAAACTCAATGTATGGACCTTGTGTTGTGCAAGAAACCCCAACCGAAGCATTTTTAAAGGTTAATTAAAGGACTCTGACAAAACACAGCTTAAGGTACACCAAGGTTTAAAAAATTGTTCAAACTCACAAAGGTAATTATTTTACAGTCCATTAGTGCTAAAAGTTATCTGATAACACAGCTGGAACAATCAGTTATTCTGTTTCTATTAAGCTTAGAATAATGGAGCGTTGCCAACCTTTTTACCTTTTACTTCATACTATTACTTAAAGGTTTACTTCAGCTCTTTCTTTGTGGGATCTCCTGGACCTTTTTGGTAAAAGTATTATGGCTAAACGCCCAGGGCAGCATGGTGTTGGGGGTTGAAAGGAGCACTAAAAAAGAAATATCAATAAAAGAAGCCAAATCATTTTTTTTTTCCAGTTGCACAATAAGTTGTATTTATGTCGACTATTTTTACCTCCAGTTCAAATGTCAGAAATGGTTTCTGTACAGGGCAGGTTGGTAATTTCTAATGGTGCACAAGGGGTCTTTACATTTTCAAATAATTTAGGGTGTATTTAATCATATGTAGCACTCAGAATGTGATTTGGATAAATGTACCACTTTTATCAGTCCTAGGAGTGTTAAAAGTTACAAACAGTTTTTAAGCTTTGAATTGTTCTGTTACTGAATTGAAAAATGCAGTTTTGGATCATGATGGATAATATCAGGGAAGCCTGTCTGGGGGGTTAGAGGACTGCTGGAGGACCGCTGGCACCCTTTGTCTACCAACCAACACACTGTCTGTGTCCTGATAGCTCCAAGTTTATAAATCAGGAGAGCATTGATTTTTTTTTATTATTATATTATATTCCCAATACAATTGTTCTTTTGAGATATTCAACCCCAGTAGTGGTATCTCTCTCTTCAGTTGGTATACTTTTTTCCAACCTTTTTTGAATTGTGTTCCCCTTTGGGCATTTTGTCTTACAATCAGTAGCCCTTACAGTTGAAACTATTGATGATTTTCCAAAAGTGGAACATACAATAACTAATTATAAGATAAAACATATTTTACCTAATCTTTTAATTTGAGCACTTCATTAATAGGCATTTAATGCTTTCCATCTCAAATAAAAAAATATATATAAATATGTTGCCTGGAGTTCAGTAAGGAATCAAAATAAATACAAAATAAAATCATATTATAATGTATTTTTAAAACTGGAGCTCGTCTAAGTATCTCCCTTATAAATACATTTAAACTTCATGAATTGGTAAATAATTACAGAAAAAAAATATATATTCAGACTAAATAAGTTTTATTTTGTTTTTATCAAGACACCTGATCGTGCTTGATGTGTGTCACAGCTGAAGGTATAATCAAACATGTAAGAAAAACATTTTTGCTGATAAAAACTTGCTTCTCACAAAGTAGAACAGATCCCAGCCATATTTT